AAGCGCTATAATAACATTTCTATTATATTTGAGCCTTTTTTCAATTATTAGTCAACAGCATTTTGCACTCTTACATTCGGAATTTCACTTATGGTCATCAAATGTTTTTATGGAACTGAATTTGTAAAGTCGTCATTGAGCTGAAAAGGAACATTTTATGGAATGTGTGACCCGTGCTATGAGGATTTATGTGAGGAGACAGAAAAAGTTTAGAAAATAATTTTGGTTTATAGTACCTACATAATGCGCGTACAAAGCGAATGTGAATAATAGAATGTCTCGAAACATCAATTATTGTTAAATGTCTATGTAATGTTTTAATAATATATCCGTACCATTATGGCCTTTTTCTTCTTGCTAGTTTTTACATGTCATCATGTATGTACCATCGTCACCAAAAGTATCTGGAACACAAATAATGCATAATAATCTCCTGGACTAATTCTACTGTCAGTCATTTCAATGCATTTAAATCATAGTTTGACAAATATTTGACAAAAAAATTCATATAATAGGACAAGAGCTAATGTGATGCTGTCCCAGTTACTTTTGGTGACAATGGTACATATATAACCTAAAATCATAAAACAGATATGTTTAGAGCGGGGGACAATATGGAAATACCCAACATTTTTGTCGGACAACATTTCACTGACGCATATTTACTCCTAATTAAGCATTCCTGAAACTTCCAGCTTGCTGGTTATCACATAACAAAATATCATAAAAAGAACATGTTCAGGGTGGGGGACAAGTGGAAATACCCATCATTTTGTCGGACAATGTTATACTGACGCATAATTAACAAGAGCTTGGTGGTAGCCTCGAAACAATTTATATGCGACGTTGCAATTTTTGGCATTTTCATGTTGGGACTGGAATCAACCACGGCACGCCACCACAGTTTTTTATTATTAATATCCCTGCCTTTTGAGTCTGGAAAGTCGTTTGTTCTCCCACAGGGCGGAAAATTCAAATAACGAGCACAACCTGAATCGCAAGTCTTCCATCGAGGTCTGCGGGTAACGTCACTCGCAGAACTTGTCTACTCAAGAATTGGTGAACCTACGCCTTAAGCCCGGGACACATCTATCATGCATTCTTCTGATCCGACTCCGATCATACAATCAGGGTCCTTATTCTTGGAACAGGGAGCAGTGTTCCCAGACGTTCTCTTGGGAACGCTGCTCCCCTGTTCCAAGAATAAAGACCTTGATTGTATGATCGGAGTCGGATCAGAAGAATGTATGATAGATGTGTCCCGGCCTTTATTAGGATGAGCAATCCTGTTCACGATTCTTGGGTTTTGATAATAATTGTTGTACAAAAATTTCAAAAATTCCAACAAAATCCAAATCTTTCATTGCACAAACAAACTAGCATCTGCAAAAAACTTTTTTTCTAACCATTGAAAAATAAACAACTTTCGTCAAAAATCATTTTCTGCAACTTGAAAACATTATTTACCTATTTTAAAAACTGCTGTTTTCGTCACTCTTTAAACAATAAACATTGTCCGCACCTGTTAGGAAAACTAACCCAAACAAAATAAAATACTTTGACGTAAATTTGGCAACGCAGCACTCCTTGCCTTAACCTTGTAGAATTGTTTTGGGGCTCCCACCAAGCTCTATCACATAACCAAAAATCATAATAAGAACATGTTTAGGGTGGGGGACAAGTGGAAATACCCAATATTTTTGTCGGACAATGTTATAGTGACACATTAGTACAGTTAAGCATTCCTAAAAGCATCAGCTTGCTGGTTATCACATAACTTAAAATCATGAAATCGACATCTTTCCCGCGGTGCTGAAGGAAAACCTCCCGCGGGCAAACTTTTTCCACGTAGAAAAGTTGTCCGACTCGTCACGCTTAAGCTATACATTGCTGGTAATTATTTTTTTTGTCTTATGGTGTATCAAGGACTAAAACCTTCTTACTAAAACGATGAAAATTCAATTTTTTTTTTGTTGAAATTTTGTGTTCTAATGATCACTTGGGATTCCCTGAACTCCATACACCAAGTTATTCCCAGATTTGAAGCCGGAATCTATGAAAAAAGGCACTCAGAAAAATTGAAAAATTGCTGAAGTCTGACAGAAACTAGTCGTTTTTTGACCCATGTGTGGCTGCCACGCCATCTTGAATGTCACGCAGTTTGGATTGCCTAATTGAGATTCAGGATCAGGATGTTTTTGTTTGGTTTTTTAATGTTTCATTGTCTACAGGATTGTTCGTTGCTGACTTTTGTTCCTCACTATTCTCAGTTGGTTTAGAAAAAGTACCTTTACTCGTGCTCCGGGTGGTAATGGAAGTTTGAAAGCCAAATACCAATCGAGGCCAAAAAGTGGAACGTCATTATAGCCTTTTACGTAAATCGATAATTTTCGTTCTTTGTTGAATGCTGAGACAAGTTTTGTCTAAAATGCTAAAATGACTTGCTAATTATGGAGTGTACAGAGCTAGGGTCGTAAATCATTTCAAATTTTTAGTTATTTATGTACATGTCAAGAAGAACTTTCGTCTAACATCTTCCTGATAATGGTTATTGTCCATTACGAGATGTTTTTATTTCTGCATTACCTTTAGACAAACAATTTTTTTTCAAAGTGATTTACTGTGTTACATAAGGAACAGTGTTTTTCCCTTGCTGGACGTTGTTTTATGTTGGTGTGATATCGGGATGTTGTCTAATAATCTATTGCGGCCACGTTGAATTTATGATGCATGCCAATAACTATTGTCCGTCGATTTTAATCCGACACTTTAAGTATGAGGTTAAACATATGGCAAAAACAGGTGTGACGTCAGGTAACCATTGGCGTTCTAATGTAGCATTGATGATAACGTAGGGAGCCACCAGCTAACATTCCTTTGGAGTATCAGATTAAAATCGACAAACTTATTTAGCTGATCACGTTCCTATGCGTTCTTGTAGATTGTTATAGTATTTTTAATCTGAACTGAAACACTAAAAAAACATCTAAGCCGTTTTCTCACGTCCACTTTTCTGACATTGGTTCAAAACTAGTTTGAAACAGTCAATGGAAACATCATTGCCCGTTTTATATCTGTTTTGAACCAATTTCAAAAAAGTGAACGCGAGAAAACGGCTTAGATGTTTTTTTTAGTGTTTCAATTCAAATTAAAAATACTATACCAAAATCGCAATTTTCTGCTAAATTTATAAAGGTTGCTATAAATTGTGTTACACAGTATGAATCTGGATGCAAAAGTTTTAAATAATCATAAAGCATCTGAAAAATGTGAAAAGTTAGCAAATGTCTTGCTATACTCTATTTTTTTGAAAGCTGTTATAATCAATCATACTCAACCAAATTTAATCCCCTAAATCCTTTGAAGAGTGAATGAACCACCTGCAATAAACGATGAGGTGACAGTTTGATTATCCAGCTTTCAAAAAAATAGAGTATAACTAGAATGTTCTTCCTTTTTAGCTTGGAGTCGTTCCTGATCTAAAACCTAACTTTTACAATTGGTTGCTATAACAAAAAATGCACTGACATCCTTCTCTTTACTTAAAGGTGAAATACTACAGATGAAAAAAAAAGTTTTCAATATTATATAATATATTCTTCAAAATCTTCATAGGGCAAGCGAAGAAGTTCTTTTATGTAATTTTTTTTTTTTTGCTTATTAATATTTTCAACCACATAATTGCACACCATCACGCACGAAAAGCTAATAATACCTATTAATCGAAATCATTACCCAGTGTTGGCATGTCAAAAACTTAATGCATGACATGCATGATTCAAACAGAAAGACATTATTTAATAAATATGTCCAAAACGACCTTAGCCGCTGCAAGAAAAGCTTCGCGTATGACCGTCAATGTTTCAATTTTTCCATTCTGTATGGAAACTTGAAATCCGTATTTCGCTTACGCAATAACCTATCAGCAGGCGAGAACATTGATGCGGTCTCGGTCTGATTGTTCCGCAACAAAGGTTATCGAGACCTACTATTCTGCATTTATCTAGATGGGATATTCGTTTCGTTCGTGGCTCTAGGATATTGTCTTGTCTATTTGGTTCTAAGTATTCGAATGTACGGACGCCCACCGCTTAAAAAGAGGCTCACGGCTGCTCAAATAAGCGAAAGTGTGCTCGTTATTGTGCTAGGTTATTGATAATTATTCATCGAGACGTTAAAATGGAAAAAAAAAAATTATAAAGAGAATGCCATTTAATTTTCATAGATTATGTCAACTACTTAAGTAAATACCACTCTGTACATCAAATTTACTAAAGTGTGTCGACGAGTCAGCATTTATTTGGTATAAATACAGCGCCGAAATCCATTAACGGCAGATAAAGGCTAGTGCAAAGTATCTCAAATGGGAAAAGCCCCTCTAGCTAAGTCTCCTGTCAGTGCAAACTACCTTTAATGGGAAACGTCCTTCTGGGAGTATTGAAAGTTTCCACATTCAAGCAGCAGTTTCATAAGGAAACCATTTAAGACACTTTGCAGCATCAATAACTTTATTGGTTCCTTATTATGGTTTTCCCATTTAATTATCCTATTATAAATATATGCATAATAAATTTGCATAATAAATATTTTTATTTACATTTGATATTGATATGTTATTGAAATTACCTGAATTAATCACAGTACATGTGTACCAATTATCACGTGTTAATCCTTAACAAAGATAATACAATAGTTGTTAATTTCTTTATTTCAAAATCATCATTTTTTACCTTAAAAAAAAAAGACAATCCATGGTAAGAAAAGTAGGTAATTAGTTATTACACTCGCTACTACATCTGTACTTATAAAGACATTCCTGAGAGTAAAAAGAACACGTATTGCACAAGTTGTAACTACGATTCACCTGCCTGCCGATACCCTTGACCTGAAGCCATGAGAAAATCCATTAAATGATCAATATTCATTACACGTCCGATCGATTGATAATTTTCTCAACAAACTAATAAATTTTCACTGTTTTTTTTTTTCTCTTGTTGCAGTTGAGAATTCCCTTGAACAAAAACTATCAAGTCAAAGGAAAAGATCTGGTAGTCAATCTAACGAAAAAGCATCTCGTTTGTGGATTCAGAAACGAACCTCCTATTATCGATGACGATTTTCAGCATGAAATTAAGCTAGAAGAATCTACATGGGTGATAGAAGACGGAAAAACTCTACTTTTTAATTTGGAGAAGGTAAGATGAATGAATAAAAAGTTATGATATACTGATATAGAGGTTGTTCCTACATATTATGTATGTAGATACTTGCGTGAGGTTAGCCTCGATTTCTTGTCAATTTTAAAGCCAATTCAAGGGAATATTGTATTGGGTATTTAGGTACCTATTATTTTTAATTAATTTTTTAATTTCAGCAGTGTAGTTTTTTTCGGTGAGATTTTGTATCCTAATGATTAACAGGGACGGGGCCATGGGGGGGGTTGGGGGGGGCGTCCCCAAAGTTCCTAAAATATATCGAAAGTTGGGAAAATTTGGATAAAAAATTTAAAGTTGGGAAAAATTGGTAGACAAAAATTTGCGCACCTTATTTGCGAGGACTAATTATTGTTATTATTATCTTTTGAGAAATACTTAAGAATTAAGTTCACTGACTTATCAGAATCCATCGGTGTAATGTCTGGAGATCGCGGAGGCCCGCTAATGGTACCACTAGTGGAAATTATTATTCATGGAATTAGGAGCATTTGAAAAAACAAAGTTGATGATGATCGCGAAGAAACGAAACGTCTGATCAAAAATCTAATAACATTATCATGTAGTGGAGAAAAAGTAGCAATGAGAATGTGAAGTTTATTGTGCGATATCATTTCAAATAAAGTCAGAAAAAAATAAAATCCATTTCGGCAAAATTCGGTTTTTCATGGATATCTTCGGAATATGTAATTCGGAATTTACGAAATATCAAAACATGGCGCCACTGAGCTCAGTAATGCGCAACTCTTTCCGAATTTAACCAACCCTATATCTCTTATGGTTGCCGAGATCAGACTGCATCCTTATCCGGGACACCCTGTATACATGTCAAACTTTTTATCAGTTTTTGAAGTGAAACTTCCTAGGCGGCGGTCTGATATTTAGAGAAGAATATGGAGAGTGATTTGAAAAACGCATAACGTAACGTCACGTTTTGGCAAATTTCGTTACACGAGAGATGAGAAAGAAGGAATATATAGTAGACTGTAGAAAGACGGAGAAAGCGAGCCAATGGGTACATTCAGGCGGTCCCAGCGGCTAAGCTCAGCCACTCAGCAGGAACTTTATTGTCGAAACAGGGGAGCAGCGTTCTCATTGAAACGAAGTTTCTGTCTTTGTCGTCCGGCATAACACTGATAATGACAGAGCAATCGTTCTTATGAGAACGCTAATCCTTGGTTTCGAGAATAAAGTCCCTGATGAGTGGCTGAGCTTAGCCGCTGGGACCGCCTGAATGTACCCAATGACAATCACAGACGAGGAACGATTAACACAAACCAAGGTTTATAAGCAAAGAGGAATGCCTATTGTTGTCAAGCGCAGATACCCTTGTGACGTCACTATAGATGCGCGTCTCCCTTTTGTGTGGCCTTTCGTCTTTACCCCGACTCATACGTCTAAAAGCTGTATGAGGGAGGGTATAGTTTTTAAAAAGTTTCACCTCCCAACACGTGCACAATGCTGCACATGATTTTTCTTAAGTGAAACTTCTTGTAAAGTGTTTTGAAAGACGCGTCACGTTAACGTAACGACACGTTTTGGCAAATTTCGGCATACGAGAGAGAAGAAAGATATGCGGCGACGTAGACAGACGGAGAAAGACAGCCAATGACAATGACAGCCGACGAACGATTCACACAAACCAAGGATTATAAACAAAGTGGATTGCCTATTATTGTCAAGCGCCGTTACTCTTGTGACGTCACTACAGATGCGCGTTTTTCTTTTGTGTAGCCTTTCGTCTTTATACCTCGACTCATGCGCTATGTGTAAAAGTTGTATGAGGAAGGGAATAGTTTTTAAAAAGTTTCACTTTTTAACACGTGTACGATGCTATATATGATTTTTTTTATGTTTCAAAAAAGTTGGGAAAATTAGGAATGTCACCCCCCCCCCCCAAACCAGAGGCCTTCGCTACGTCCCTGATGATTAATTAACATCCCCCAAACTTCATACACTAAATTATTCTCAGATTTGAAGCCGAAATCTATGAAAAAAGGCACTCAGAAAAATTGATAATTCATCCCAAATTGCTTAAAACAATTTTATCTCAGGAACTATAAGTCCAAATGAGCTGAAATTTTCAGGGATTGAAGTCCTCTACTGGAATAAGAATCTCTGAAAATTTCAGCTTTCTATCTATAATAGAAAAAAACTTATGACTTTTCAAAGTTTTTCAAAATCTAAATCATAAGATAGTGTTACCTTCTTACTAAAACGATGAAATTTCAAACTTTTTTTCGGTGAGATTTTGTATCCTAATGGTTAATTAACATCCCCCAAACTCCATACACTAAATTATTCTCAGATTTGAAGCCGAAATCTATGAAAAATTGATAAATCACCCCAAATTGCTTAACACGATTTTATCCCAGGAACTACAAGTGCAAATGAGCTGAAATTTTCAGGGATTGAAGTCCTCTACTGGAATTCAAATCGCTGAAAATTTCAGCTTTCTATTTATAATAGAAAAAAAGTTATGACTTCTCCAAAGTTTTCCAAAATCTAAATCATAAGGTACCTTCTTACTAAAACGATGAAATTTCAAATTTTTTTTCGGTGAGATTTTGTATCCTAATGGTTAATTAACTAACCCAAACTCCATACACTAAATTATTCTCAAATTTGAAGCCGAAATTTATGAAAAAAGGCACTCAGAAAAATTGAAAAATTGATAAATCACCCCAAATTGCTTAAAACAATTTTATCTCAGGAACTATAAGTCCAAATGAGCTGAAATTTTCAGGGATTGAAGTCCTCTACTGGAATAAGAATCTCTGAAAATTTCAGCTTTCTATCTATAATAGAAAAAAAGTTATGACTTTTCAAAGTTTTTCAAAATCTAAATCATAAGGTAGTGTTACCTTCTTACTAAAACGATGAAATTTCAAACTTTTTTTCGGTGAGATTTTGTATCCTAATGGTTAATTAACATCCCCTAAACTCCATACACTAAATTATTCTCAGATTTGAAGCCGAAATCTATGAAAAATTGATAAATCACCCCAAATTGCTTAACACGATTTTATCTCATGAAATTGTGATATTTTTCAAAGTAAAATAATTTTATTTAAGAAGAAAGTATGTACAAAGTAGATAAGGATGTTAGGGTTGTTGGATGGTTTGTAGATTTAGACATTCTCTGTAAATGCAAGATGTAGAGGATATTGAATAAATAAATAAATATTAATTACGTCCTACAATATGGTTCCATTAGAGTAATTTTTATCATTATGATCCATTTCCTTGTACTCCAGATCAACAAAATGAACTGGTGGGGCAAACTAGTCATGTCGGATCCCGAAATTAGCACCAAGAAAATTAATCCCGAACCGTCGAAGCTCAGCGACCTTGATGGCGAAACTAGGGGCCTTGTGGAGAAGATGATGTACGATCAGAGACAGAAGGAGATGGGTTTGCCTACTAGCGACGAACAGAAGAAGCAAGATGCAATCAAAAAGTATGTAGCAGGATTTTTTAAATATTTTATCCTTTGAATTATTTAAGTACTAAAACCCAACCGCATTTGTGTTTTCAGATTTATGGAGCAACATCCGGAAATGGACTTTTCCAAATGCAAGTTTAATTAGTAATAATTACAAGATGAAATATCAATTATATGCTTATGTTTTTTTTTTTTTTGTAATGCCAATTTTTCAATAAATACACTTTTGTTCAATTTTAAACTCAGTTTCAAGTGCCTTTCAAAATTTCAAAAACTATATATGGAAACAAAAAATTTCATTACAACGTTTATTAAAAATATTATTTCACATATGTTTTTTGTTAACTTTTGATTTAAACAAAATAGAAAAATAAAAACATTTACAATTACCTCTTAAAACAATCAACATTAACCTGCCTATAAATTAACATTAAGCCTTTGTGTAAAAATGAACAATTATTGAAATAACAAGTACAAATATGGCAAAACCCAATCCTAATATGTACAATAATTTATTTGAATCTGACCTTAGTGTGGGCAGAAAGTCTTCGCTATCATCAGTTTTGGCTTGAGTGGTGTCTCTGTAGTACTGTGTTATATCTAACAAAATAATTATTTATTGATTTTTTCAAACACTGTAGATAATATAAAATTACCTGCTTGTCCTTCTAAGTCCAAAAACACCAAATGGTTATCTGCTTTAATATCTAAAAGTTCTTCTAATGAAGCTTTTGCATCTTCTGGACCCTCACCAGGAAACAAGTAATCTGATACAGTGACATTATTTTCTGGCAATGCTATTAGAACTCTTCTTGGAGGCTCATGAACACTGGTAATATCTGAAACAATCGGCGAATTGACCTTACGAACAAGCTTTTGAACTTTTTTACCTTCTCCTAATTCTTCCTCTGTTAAAGAATCCCAATGCATTTCCATTCTTGTTGTCAAACTTCTCATGATATCTTCTTTAACCGCTTGAACTGCTTCACCAAATGTGCCTTTAGAATGAAGCCAAAGCTTACAAACTACCTCGCCAATTATTCTAATTTGACCACCAATATTTGAATATCGGAGTTCATCAGATGATTTTGAAGCAACCTAGAAGAAATATATGATTTTATGATGCAATCTTCAAGTTGTTGAAGTTGAACTGACACATTTTTCAAAAATCGACACCGTTATTGCTTTTGTTGTCTCATTTGGGTCTTGTACAGTTTTGTTGGACGAACCTCTAGGAACTTTTTTCTTTTTATTTAGGTTTTCTAGCTTTTCATCTGGGTCTTTTAGTTCGTTATCAAAAACAATGATACCAGATTCTAAATTTCTATTGATATCATCTAGAATTACCTAAAATAAAGTAATTGATATTTTGTAAGTTGAATTTTTTGTGTGTGCTTACCTTTATATGTTTTTTTAAAGGCCCATTTGCCTCATCATGTTTCAAATAATAAACATGATCAATTTGATATGTACACTGTAGGTTGAACAATTTATTATTTTTCTGCAAAAATTTAAAATCGGCAGGTTGTACATTTGTAGTTACAACGTCGTAAGTTTTGGCTAAATATCTTTGGCTTTTGGGCGAGAAATGCAGCACTAATTTTTCATTATCTCCAGTTCCGTACAAGTAATTTTGTGCCAAAAGTGTTTTATTGATTAGATTTAGAATTGATTTAATTTTCGAATTGAAAGGATTCAAAATATCTTCATCAGAAACGACGAAAATTCCCAAAACCTGCATACCCCCTGGTAACATTCTTGTTGTTTGCCTAGCATGATCTGCTACCCAACTATCATTAACTTCGGCTATGGATTTTAGATTTTTTAAGGGTTTTTCCTCATTTTTATCTTGTTCGCTTTGAAACGGGGGCGTTTTTGCAAAGTGAATAATATTGTATCTTTGTAAACTTATCTAAAAAGGAGGACAGAATATTGTGAAAACATATGGGATAATTTGACTTGTAGATAAATACCTGTCCCAAGGCAAGACCAACAGCACATTTATAATCATTGGCGATGTTTGATAAATATTTTAATAAGTACTCATCACCTTCTGCATGCCGAACCATTTTGAAAACTTTATGAAATTTTAAAAATTAAAAACCAAAAATTATCCAGTCCGCATTATTTGACTTTTCAAATGATGAAATGACACTCTTGACAAGGCTACGTTCGATAACTCGGGAAAACTATTTAGCTGTCAACGTTGTTCTAAAATAAATGTATTAGATTGTTCGCAGTTGATTTAGAACTGGTTTCAGATAATTTTTGAACTAATTCTCAGAGTTCCGTGTAGTTTGATTGCTGTTCCGAATTCGAAATAAACTGAACTGAAGTGTACTACAGCACATTAATTGTTCGTAATTCAATTAGAATCGGTTCCGGATAGGTTTTGAAGTTTTGAAATGGTTCACAATCGAGCCATCTTTAATTTGTGTTCCGAATTATTCTTTGTTCGCGGTGCAACCAGAATCAGTTCCAAATCGGTTCTATGTGTTCTAAGATTTGTTCGGATAAACATTTGAACTAGTTCACTTACGATCGAGTTATCATTAAATAGGATTCTGGATCGACTCTGAAATGCTTCTAATTTCAAATAGAACCTTTAGAATCTATTTTTATTACTTTCAATATTCAAACGTACAAAATAAACAGAATAGAATTAGTGCAGTTGGAACAGAACTTAAAGATTGGATGGAACACAGCGTACCGTCTATAAACCTAGCAGTCCCAAGGTGGAAAAAACTTCGGGAACTATATAATAATTAGGTGCTTTTTAGGTGCTAATTAGGGCCTCTATTTAAAAATTAGGTGCTCCTTTAGTTTTTGAGAAAATCAAAAAAAACTAAAGGACTGCTAGGTTTATAAAAGCCAGCAGTCCCCTATAGTAAATAGTTATTTATGCAACAAGTGTGTAAAGTGAACCTTGTGAACCATGTCATAATTCACATTCGTGAAAAAAGGTGCTCTACGCACGTATTGCATACAAAATTTTTTCTACTACCAATCAAATATGTGTGAAAAAATAAATTTAGACAAATTCTTTATGTACTAGTGCGTAAAGTATTTTCACTTTACGCACTAGTGCGTGAAGTAATTTACCAGAAAAATAGTAATTGGACAGTGTCGACATCTGTCATTGACATTTACTAGTGTGTGAAGTGAATTACTTTACGCTCTAGTGCGTGAAGAGACATTTTATTACGTCTTCTGAATAGTGCGTAAAGTGAATACTTTACGCACGGTAGTAAAAAATAGTTATTTATGCAACAAGTGTGTAAAGTGAACCTTTTTTCACGAGTGTGTATTTTGACGCACGAGCCGAAGGCGAGTGCGACAATCACATGAGTGAAAAAAGGTCCTTTACGCACGTATTGCATACAAAATTTTTTCTACTACCAATCAAATATGTGTAAAAAAATAGAGTTAGATAAATACTTTACGCACTAGTGCGTGAAGTATTGTCACTTCACGCAACTAGTGCGTGAAGTAATTTACCAGGAAAATACTAAATTGACAGTGATGACTGTAGTATAAGTAGGCAGTAGTTTTTGTTTAATTGTCTCTATATGGGACACCTTGTCATATGTTTTGTAAATGTGTCAGTCTAATATAGAATTATTCAAAAAACGCATTGTTCGTTCGTTGTTCGTTCAGCAAATACACAACAATTAATTGGCGACGAGTATTCTTCGAGTCCCGCGGTTACTTGTCTAGTACGTGTCCAAAAAGTCGGGTAGAAACGTTTTGTCCAGAAAATTGTGGAAAAAAGTTCAAAAATGCCTTTGGTTGGATCAATCGAACAGTTTAGTCCCAAACAATCCGATATTGATTCATATTTGGAGCGTCTTGAACAACTATTTTTGGTGAATGGTATCAAAGAAGAGAAAAAAGTGCCTATGCTTTTAACCTTATTGGGCGCAGAAGGGTACAGTGTCTTAAAAGATCTATTGTCACCAAATTTACCAAGTACCAAGTCATACGAGCAGTTAAAACAAGCACTAACAAATCATTATAGTTCAGAAGGTTAGTAATAGCTGAACGATACAAGTTTTACAATGCAGTCCAAGAATCAGAAGAGGATTTAAAGGTCATTTGTGGCTAAATTGAAAAATATGTCACAACATTGTCAATTTGGAAGTTTTTTGTCAGAAATGCTCAGAGATAGATTTGTATATGGTATCCAATAAGTCTATGCATATCAAGAAAAAGTTGCTTTCCGAGGAACAGCTAACATTTGAGAAGGCGTATGAATTAGCATTATCCATGGAGTTGGCAGATGGTCAAGGGAAATCAATGTCTGGAGAAAATAGTGTTTTGTCTGTATTTGACAGGGTAGGTAAACTGTCACTGAGAAATAAAAAATGTTCTAGTTTTAGTAAAGATCGAAACGAGGATAACAAAAATCAAAATGTCAAGGATTGGAAGCCTTGTTTTCGTTGCAAGAGAAAGCATGATCCTGCAAAATGTCCTGCCAGAGAATGGGAATGTTTTAAATGCCGAAAAAAGGGTCACACTAGTCGAGTCTGTAGAAAAGAAAATGTTCGTATACTAGAAGAGAGTGATGATGGTAGTCAGTCAGAAAATTGAGAAGAGGATTCTTTGGCTCTTGGTTATTTGGCAGTCTCAAACGCGTGTAAGGAACAAGCGGAAAAGGTATATATTGAAATTGAAGGAGAAAAAATTTGTTTCGAAATAGATAGTGGGGCTTGTCGTTCTGTAATTCATGTCAAAGATTTTCAAAAGCATTTGTCAGGTCTAAATCTGCATAATGTTGAATACGATCTAAGGGTACTTACTGGTCAGGGTGTAAAAATATTAGGGGAAACTGATGTTTTTATAAAACATAATAATAAAGTTGTTACTTTGCCGTTAGTAGTCATAGACAGTAGTCATAAGTTTTCACCATTAGTAGGTCGAAATTGGTTGAGTGTGCTTAGTCCAGGGTGGAGAGAAAAGTTAAATTTCAATAAATCATGTCAAAGTGTCGATGTCAACAGTCAGTCTTCGAGTCCGTCAAGTGCCTCTATTCCTTATTGTAAGGTAATGTCTGAAGGTACCTACTACAAATAAGTCAAACTACTCTCAAGTTGATTCAAAGGTCATAACAGAAAGCGTGTCTCAGCTTAAAAGTCAGTACAAAGAAGTCTTTAGTGATCAATCTGATTCCTGGATTAATAATTTCATGATAGAAATAAAATTAAGAGAGGGGTCTCAGCCTATTTTCCATCGTGCATATGATACGCCGTATGCTTTAAAAGAAAAAGTCGAGTCTGAATTGTTAAGTATGGAAAAGTCCGGTGTTATTAAAAAAGTCAGTTATAGTAATTGGGCCAGTCCAATTGTAAACCTAAGAAAAATTCTGATACAATTCGTATCTGTGTTGATTTTAAGAAAACTTTGAATAAAGTTATAGATGCTGATCATTGTGTGTTGCCCTTACCAGAGGATATTTATGCTTGCTTAGGTGGTCATAAATATTTTACTGTATTAGATTTAAAGGGGGCTTATCAGCAGCTAAAACTTAGTGCAAAATCACAGGAGTTAATGGTCATTAATAGGTACTCATATTGGTCTTTTTGCATACACTCGTTTGACTTATGGTATTAGTGCTGCACCAGGCATCTTCCAGTCAGTAATGGATACAATCATATCAGGATTAAAAAATACAAAATGTTATTTAGATGACATTTTAGTATTTGGCACTACTTTTCAAGATTGTTTTGATAATGTTAAGAATGTCTTAAAGAGATTGAAAGAATTTAACGTGAAGATAAATGAAAAGAAATGTAAGTTTTTTCAAACTAAAGTGGCGTTTTTAGGTCATGAGATAGATGAAAATGGGGTTCATCCTACTCAAGAGAAAATTCAAGATATTAAGTCAGCGCCTTCGCCAAAGAGTTTAACCGAACTAAAGTCTTATCTGGGTCTTCTAAATTACTATATCAAGTTTATTCCAAATCTCTCATCTAAATTGAAACCATTATATTATCTCTGTAAAGCTGGTGTTACTTTTTCTGAAAATTGGAGTAAAGAGTGTGAACAAGTTTTTCAGTCTAGTAAAAATTTGTTAAATTCTGATAGTGTCCTCACTCATTACAATCCTAAATTACCTATTTTTGTTACCTGCGATGCTAGTGGTTATGGTGTTGGAGCTGTCCTTAGTCACCATATAGATGGCAACGACAAACCTATAGTATTTGCATCTGGTACATTGTCTGATTCAGAAAAAAAATATAGTAATTTGGAAAGAGAAGCTTTAGCAATAATTTTTGCTGTAAAAAAATTTAATAAGTATTTATATGGTCGAAAGTTTGTACTGATAACAGACCATCAACCCTTACAGTTTATTTTTGGAAAAAATAAGGGAATACCTGTTTCAGCAGCTTCGAGAATAACATGGGTCATTACTTTATCGCTGGATATGATTATGATATCCAATACAAGAAAGGGGCGTCAATTAATAATGCTGATGGCTTGTCTCGATTACCTTGTAAAAATCAAACAGATGTAGCAGATTTTTTGTATTCTTTTTGTTTATTGGAAAAGATGCCATTAACATCTTTAGATATAGCAAAAGAAACAAATAAAGACATTATTCTAACTAAAGTCAGAGAATTAACATTGTCAGGATGGCCTTCAGTCATAAATGATGAAAATTTGAAACCTTTTTTTAAGCGGAGGAACGAACTGTTTGTTGAACAAAATTGTATTTTATTAGGCAACAAAGTAGTAATTAAGTAATTCCAAAAAGTTTGCGAAATGAAGTCCTAATACTGTTTCACGAAGAACATTGTGGCATAGTTCGAACAAAAATGCTTATTCGGTCTTATTGTTGGTGGCCTGCATTAAATGAGGACATAGAAAAATTTATTTCGTCTTGTGATATATGTCAACAACATCAAAATTTTTCAAATACTAGTTCTCTACTCCCTAGGACTAACGCACCATACAATTTTTATAGGGTGCACATTGATTTCTTTTTCAAGAATAAATTTGTCTTTCTCATACTTATTGATCAAAAGTCCAAATGGATGGAGGTGAAATTAATGAAAAATGGTACAAATGCTATTGAAACTATAAATATTTTGAAAGAAATATTTTCAGTTTTTGGTCTTCGAGTC